GAGTGTTAAGAATAGTAAGACAGTATATGTAAACTGTTAATAGTAAAAGAGTGTATGTGTAATTCTTATTATTGTAGGTTAACTATAAATACAAAGTGATGTATGAGAGTTGGGTATTTTAACCTCTCTTTGTTCTCTCTAATATTGTGTTAATTCTCCACACTTAACAATTTCATATCTTTTACAAACTCAACGTCCAAAATTTGCAAACCAAGACCATAATCAAAACCATACTCATAATCATGATTTACCTACACTAACACCCGACCTTTTTTCTATGCTTTTAAACAATCAAAAACAAAAATTACTAACCGAACTTTCTTACCAATGACTGTTACTCCTTTCCAATTCTTCAACAAAGCCTACACGACTATACGAAATCAAAGAATCCAAAGAAATTGGTTCATTCCACACCGATTTCGAACCGAAAGAGCAAAACTCCTCTACTGGGTTGTCTTCCCTCCCAACCCGCTCATCTCTTTCTCTCTTCACTCTCTTTCCCTATCTCTATCTCTCCCTCTCTCTGAAGCTCACGTTTAAACACAAACACACACACACATATATTTATCATACATATATAGAAGAACAAGCTATAAGAGACACGTCTCTTATGATTCATGTTTTCCCAAAATTCACTTGGGTTCCCTTACACTTCTTTCCCTCACACACACACCCCCCTCTTAACGTTAAATATTTATAAACTCATACACATGCATCTTCCTTTCATATGATTTTCCACCCAAATACCATTAAAATCATAAAATTCATCCCCTAGGGTTCAAGATTTTTCCATTCTCCCATAGTTTCTGTAACTATAATTTAACCCCAGATTAATATTGTAATTTACAATAAATTATGCATTAACCCCCAATATTTAACAAAATGTCATGCAATGTGTCTATGGTTCTCACAGAAACACTGGCCTTTGATTTCTTTTAAGAAAGAATAGGGAAGGGAAGTAACTAAAACTTCTCTTGTGAGTCTTTAGGAGGTTTCTTCTCCGTTTTCTTTCCCAAAACACAATTGAAGGCGAGGGAAATGATATATAGTACAATTTGTCTTTCCAATTTGTCGTTGACCTCTAAAGCCTTTCAAAATTGATGTGCTATAGGCATATGGACGGATAAGAATTGAACAATGACAACATTAGGTTGACAATTCTGTGTCAAACTAATAGACTTGGCAATTGTGTGGTAATGCTTTTTTCAGTAACTTTTTTTTGAATTAAAAAAGCAATTTCATCAAAAAAAAAANGTCGTTTCTTGTTGAAGCGTCGTGGTGGTGGTTGTGAGATCCTAGTATCCCACATCGGTTGGGGAGGGAAAAGTTGTTGGGCTTATTAGTAAGCCCCTCGCCTTACATGACATAAGGCCTTTTCCCAGAGGTAATTGGAAAAAACAAAGCAGTGAGGGCCAGTGGGCCCAAAGTGGACAATATTATGCCATGTGAAGGATGGGGTGTTACAGTGGTGGTAGTACTGTTGTGGTGTCGGTGTTTGTCGAAGTGTAGCGGTGGTGGTGGTACTGTTGTGGTGATCGTGTGTTGTTTGCCATCGTCTGTTCTTCGCTGTCGTCTTTTATTTGCCGTAGTTGTGAGGCTTAGTCGAAGATCAGGGTTGCCGAAGTTGTGATAGTAGTGTGGCTGTTGTGGTGGGCTGCCGTTTGTAGTAGTGGTGAGGCGCAGTCAAGACAAGGGTTCACTGAAACTCCAATCAACGAACGAAGAAGACAAGGTCCAAATCCTTGTCTAGACCTTGATCCACTTCAGTCCAACCGGTCCTGATCCAGCCTAATTAAATTGGGTCTAGCCTCCTTGGTTCAGCTTAGACCGATTCAGCCTTGTGAGATGGATGTTTTACATCATAATGGGACTTGAGATCTCGTTCTTTTATCCCCTGGTAAACGAACTATTGGCTGTCGTTGGGTGTATACTGTTAAATTTCATCCAGATGGTTCTGTGGAGCGTCTCAGAGCCCGGCTTATTGCAAAGGGCTTTGCTTAGACTTATGGTATTGATTATGAGGACACTTTTTCTCTTGTTGTCAAAATTTCTTTTGTTTGTATCTTGATTTCTTTGGCGGCTAATCTTGATTGACCCTTGTTTCAGTTAGACGTCAAGAATGCCTTCTTATATGGTGACTTGGTTGAAGAGGTATACATGGAGCAGCCACCTGGGTTTACTTCTCAGGGGGAGTATGATAAGAGTGTATGTCAATTAAAGAAATCTTTGTATGGTTTGAAGCAGTCACCAAGGGTATGGTTTGGTAAGTTTTCAGAAGCAGTTTTAGAGTTTGGTCTTCTTCGATATCAGACAGATCATTTTGTGTTTCATAGACACACAGATACTGGATATGTCCTATTGGTGATCTATGTAGATGATATTGTGATTATTGGAAATGATTTTGAGGGGATTGCCAAGTTAAAAATATTTTTACAGGATTGATTTCATACTAAGGATTTGGGAAAACTCAGGTACTTCTTGGATATTGAGGTGGCTCGATCTAAACAAGGTATTTGTTTATTCTAGAGGAAATATGTACTTGACATGCTTGAGGAAGCAGGTTTGTTGGGTGGTAGGCCGATCGATGTTCCTATGGATCCAAATCAGAAATTATTGATGGATGATAGTGCATTGTTTGAGAATCCGGGTCGGTATCGCAAATTGGTTGGGAAGCTTAATTATCTCACTATTACTCGACCAGATATTTCTTATGCAGTTAATATAGTAAGTCAGTTCATGGGATGTCCTAGAGTACCACCTCCTGAACTTGGACTGTTATATCCAGCTAATGGACATCTTAGAGTGGAAGGTTTCTCAAATTCTGATTGGGTTGACTCTCTTTCTGATCGGAGATCAACCACTGATTATTGTACTTTCTTATGAGGTAATGTTGTCTAATGGAAAAGTAAGAAAAAACCCATGGTAGCAAAATCCAGTGCTGAGACTAAGTATAGGGTAATGAAACATACGACATGTGAGTTGACTTGGTTACTACACTTTTTCTAGGAAATTGGGTTTCCAATTTAACTTCTTTTACAGTTGTTTTGTGACAACCAGACAGTTATTCATATCGCTGTCAATCCTATGTTTCACGAGAGAACCAAGCATATTGAGGTTGATTGTCACTTTATTCGGGACAAGATAGTAGTTGGGGAGATTATAACTCCATTTGTGAAATCTGAAGATCAGCTTGCAGATATGTTTACCAAAGCATTGAGTTGTAGATGTCTTACAACTATTTGTTTCAAGCTTGGATTATATGATATATATAGCCCAGTTTGAGGGGGAGTGTTAAGAATAGTAAGACAGTATATGTAAACTGTTAATAGTAAAAGAGTGTATGTGTAATTCTTATTATTGTAGGTTAACTATAAATACAAAGTGATGTATGAGAGTTGGGTATTTTAACCTCTCTTTGTTCTCTCTAATATTGTGTTAATTCTCCACACTTAACAATTTCATATCTTTTACAAACTCAACGTCCAAAATTTGCAAACCAAGACCATAATCAAAACCATACTCATAATCATGATTTACCTACACTAACACCCGACCTTTTTTCTATGCTTTTAAACAATCAAAAACAAAAATTACTAACCGAACTTTCTTACCAATGACTGTTACTCCTTTCCAATTCTTCAACAAAGCCTACACGACTATACGAAATCAAAGAATCCAAAGAAATTGGTTCATTCCACACCGATTTCGAACCGAAAGAGCAAAACTCCTCTACTGGGTTGTCTTCCCTCCCAACCCGCTCATCTCTTTCTCTCTTCACTCTCTTTCCCTATCTCTATCTCTCCCTCTCTCTGAAGCTCACGTTTAAACACAAACACACACACACATATATTTATCATACATATATAGAAGAACAAGCTATAAGAGACACGTCTCTTATGATTCATGTTTTCCCAAAATTCACTTGGGTTCCCTTACACTTCTTTCCCTCACACACACACCCCCCTCTTAACGTTAAATATTTATAAACTCATACACATGCATCTTCCTTTCATATGATTTTCCACCCAAATACCATTAAAATCATAAAATTCATCCCCTAGGGTTCAAGATTTTTCCATTCTCCCATAGTTTCTGTAACTATAATTTAACCCCAGATTAATATTGTAATTTACAATAAATTATGCATTAACCCCCAATATTTAACAAAATGTCATGCAATGTGTCTATGGTTCTCACAGAAACACTGGCCTTTGATTTCTTTTAAGAAAGAATAGGGAAGGGAAGTAACTAAAACTTCTCTTGTGAGTCTTTAGGAGGTTTCTTCTCCGTTTTCTTTCCCAAAACACAATTGAAGGCGAGGGAAATGATATATAGTACAATTTGTCTTTCCAATTTGTCGTTGACCTCTAAAGCCTTTCAAAATTGATGTGCTATAGGCATATGGACGGATAAGAATTGAACAATGACAACATTAGGTTGACAATTCTGTGTCAAACTAATAGACTTGGCAATTGTGTGGTAATGCTTTTTTCAGTAACTTTTTTTTGAATTAAAAAAGCAATTTCATCAAAAAAAAAATAGTAACTAACTTGATTTATTTAACAAAAGTGATACATATGTATCCAATAATCAAAATTTTGTTTCGGTGTCTTGTTTTAGTCACCAAGGAAATGAAAATATTTCCACCTGTTTCGAAAATGTTTCAACCTGTTTTGAAAATATAATGAAAACTAATAAAAAATTTGAGAATAATTTTTTCGAAATATTAGTTGAAATATACTAAAACATTTTGAAACACCTCGAAATATTAAAAAATATCTCGAAGTATTAAAATTTCGATTTTAGTTCATTTCGGTCCCCTTAAAAACGGAAAGGTTTTAGTTGTTTTAAAACGAAATTTTATCCTTGTATGTATCTTTCTATATAAATATATTCATATTCCTATACAGGCAATTAGGCTTAAGGAATGGTGTAAACTTGAACTATTTTGCAAACGCTACTTTTGCTCATACCAAAGAGTAATTAAAAAGTGTTATCAAATGGTATAACATGTTCTACATCAAAATTGTGACTCACCAAGAAATCCTTTCCTTTTTATTACGTACTTTTGGTAATACCCTCGCTTCCCCTTTTGTGCATGTTGAACTACAACTTTTTAGGGTTTGGCGTATATGAAGCATCAATCTATTTGACTTCTTTTTTTCTTTTATTTCCCCACTCATTTTTATTGTTGTTGTTTTGCAGATTTATGCAGCCGTAACCATGAGTCAATTGCTTTGCCTGCCGGTTTTCTTGGGCGTTGTTTATATCCAAGACTTAACCTGGGACTTCTCTGCTGAAGTGCTGATAATTGTCATTGTTTGCCTTGCGGTGGGGTTCTTTGCTTCATTTCGAACCTCTATCCCCCTCTGGACATGTTTGGTGGCCTATGCACTTTACCCATTCTCCCCATTACTGGTCTATGTTCTCGATTATGTGATTTGACTGTTGCAAGCATTCATATCTATTCATGAAGAAGAGAGTTAAATAAAAAAAAAGGGCTGACAGATTTTTATTTTTTGAGTAATTGGAACTCCTATTTACATTAGTTTGGTTTGCAGAGACTTTGTATAATTAACTTGTAGTCTATGTAGAGGCTGTAACTTGTAATCAAAGGGATGGTAAATCCCAAAGTTTACTTGTAAGTTGTGCTAAGGTTGTGTATTTGTCAACTGGACATCCTTCCCTATTAGCATCAGCCGAAGCAGCAATAAAATTGTGCTCAATTTTACGCATCCATAAGCTTTTTCCTGCTGAACATTTTAGAAATTGTTGCTTTTTCCTGCTGAACATTTTAGAAACTGCGAAATTCCATTTACCTAAGTCATATCATACATCGCAGATCAATGGTTCAGAAATTTTAGTTGTCTAGGCCTCACTCTTTCAACGAATTTATTATCAATATATCTTATTTATCAAATTTATTTATCGATTTATTGTCGTTTTCAATTTATTTATCAAACTATCGCTGTTTTAAAAGCGGATTTGACAAATTCGACTTCATGGGGAAAACGGATTTGACAAATCCGATTTCATAGGAAAAGTGGACATACCAAACCCGTCTTTAAATAAAAAGTGGACTTACCAAGGTGCAAGCCTTTATATGTATAATTGTGTTGATCGCCAAAAGAGTATTTGACTATTTATTGAATAGGTTTGATTTCTCTGATTTTATATTTTTTGTGAATAAATTACTCACATTTATTAGTCGTTAAAAATCTACTAATAGATTCTATTTAAATTTATTAGTTATAACCCGTGCCTGAAGGTACGATAAAATATAAAATTCGAGCATCCAAAAAATCGATTTCACTATATTAAATTTTTTCAAAATATATTAATTACAAATTAATATAATATTAAATAATTAAATATATTATAAAAATGAGTAATTTATTTTTTAAGGAGAAAATATATAAAGTCAAGATTTTCGGGTAATATCCCAATAAGAAAATTAGATGAAATATTACATAACGGATTTGGTATGTCTGCTTTTTAAATGAAGTCAGATTTGATATGTTCACTTTCCCTGTAAAGTCGGATTTGCCAAATCCGCATTTCACTTTCTGCTTTCCAAATGAAGTAAGATTTTTTAAATCCGCTTTCCCCATGAAGTCGAATTTGTCAAATTCCCTTTTAAAACAACGATAGTTTGGTAAATAAGTTGAAAACGGCAATAGATTGGTAAACAAGTTTGATAAATGGGATAGATTGGTAATAGATTCCTCTTTCAACCTCTCTTTCTCTCTCTCTCACACACAGAGAATTTATTACCAATATACAATTCTTTTTAAACTTATATAGCAATTTTAAACTTATTTAACAATTTACAGCATTTTTTGAAAATGGATTTAAAAATTATGTTTTTAATAAAAATGGAATCAACAATCCCACTTTTCATAAAAAAAAATAGATTTAATGATTCCGATTTTAGATATATAACTCCCTTTAAAAGCGTGGTTAACAAGCACGCTTTTATTTAAAAACGTGCTTGTTAACCACGCGTTTAACATTTCAACCATTACTTTCTGTGTGTTCTCCGATGCATTGGAACAATCCATTGGTAGAAAACTGAAGCAGCTTTAGTAATTATACCACCAATCTCAGGACCACGTTGGAACAACCACCGAAGTTGACTTTGGTCAATGGGATGGTGTTGGTTGCTCTCAGTGCTTCTTTTTCACTTATTTTGGGTTCTTCTTCACTTTCTTAAGCTGAGACAAAAAGACTTTCAGAAAAAAACAAAAAGAAAAAAGAGCACACAAGAATTCTGCGACATTCCACTTAATAATCAGAAAAAGAAGAATTTTACCATCACAATATTTTATGTTTCTCACTCTGTAATGGTTATCCAAAAAAAAACTATTAATTTGCAATGAACGTTCAAGCTCAAAGCTAAATCCAAATCACTCCTTTTTTCACATTTTATTGGGCATACATCTGTGAGTGATAAAAAAAAGCTATGAGTTTTAGTTAAAGGGTCGTTCATGAAGTTCATATTTGTTAGCAGCAACAGTTGTGAGCCCGATGCTTTCATCAATTGGTGCATAACAAAAAACTCTCTGAGTGATGAGATTTCCTTTCTTGTATAAAAGGATGAAACCCGACTTCAAAATACATTTATCGAAATATAATTTGGTGACATTAAATTAGAAACTAAAGGCCATAAAGCTTCTAGAAGAGGATTTGTAGGAGGATGAGATCTCTTGGAGAGAAAGAAGTTGAAGCTATGTGCTTTTTTTCAATTTAGCCTAAAGGTGTGGGTTATCAAACACGGTTTTAAATAAAAATCTGTTTAACAAGTACATTCTCGATGGCAGTTAACCATAAAAACGTGTTTCGTAATCACGTTTTTAAAAAAAAACGCATTTGGTAACTCCGCTTTTGAAAAATGTTATTTTGACAAATATGATCAAAAATATTATTTTTTTATTTAAAAGCGGATTTATTGATTCCGCTTTTATATTTAAAAGCGAATTTGTTGACTCTATTTTATAAGTGAAAGTGGATTCAACAAATTCACTTTCAAAAAATACCGCAAATTGATAAATAAGTTCAAAATTATTGTATATCGTTATTTAAGTTTTAAAAAAGCTATATATTGGTAATAAATTCCACACACAAACGAGTCTGTGTCAGCTCAAAGAAAAAAGGGGTTTTTTTTTGGAAGCCATATCTTTTCTTAGTTAAATATCAAAATTACAATCACAACCTTATGTATTTAAATCTTTAAATTACCCTCTAACATCTCTTTTAATTATTTATTATTTTTGTATAAATATCAATATCTATGAAAATTTTTAATTCACTACGCAACCCTTAAAAAAATAAATGCATTATTATAGTTTTCAATAACGTGTTCAAAAAGTCTATCAATAGATCATTACTTTTTTCAAATAAAAAAAATAACATTATGTGTATATATATATTTTTTTTTCTATATATACTACTAATAAAAGTAGCTAAAAATAAAAAACTTTTGATTCACTATTTTACTCTTATAAAAAATTTTAAATACCACATTATCTTTTCATAGTTAAATATCTAAATTACTTCATCCGTTCCTAAATATCTGTCATTTTACACAATTTTTTTGGTTTCATAATATCTGTTGTTCAATGAAACCAAAGCATAATTAATATTTTTTCTTCCAAATTTACCCTTAACTTTTCAATGCATTAGATTTGGTAGAAGATAAATATCTTTCATATTCATTTCCTTCCCAATACGTATTGAATAAGAGTATTTTAGTCTTGTGTAATTATTTTTTACTCATATTAGAACTATTTAATAACTTTCTTAATCTCTGTGCAAAAATCTTAAACGACATATATTTAAAAACGGAAGGAGTACAATCACAACCTTATGTGTTTAAATCTCCAAATTACCTATAATATCTCTTTTAGTTCTTTATTCATAATGTATAAATATCAGAATCTATGAAATTTTTTAATTGACTACGTTACTCTTAAAAAATATGTGCATCACTATAATTTTCAATAAAATGTTCAAAAAATCTTTAAAACTTTCATCAATCTATCATTACTCATTTCAAATATAAAAATAACATTATACTTATATGTGTATATTTGTTTATCTAAAATTTTAACCAATTCATTTTTAAGATAAAAATAATCTTTTATGTAGTTTTTTAAAAAATAATTTATGTTAAATCAACATAATTCTTCAATCACAATAAAATTTTCATATTTTATTAAGAGTTTTTATAAAAAAAATTATAGTGTATTTTTAAGTAAAACTTGAATTTTAGAATTTTAATATTCTTTTAAAAATTATATTATAGAGTAGTTGTATTATATTTTAGGGTTAACAACACTTTTAGTCTATGAAATATACATGTTTTAACAGTTTGGTTTTCATTGTATCAATTTGGTCTATAAAAAATGATCTTTACCTAGACAATTTGTTAAATTTTTAACATAAGTGATCACGTGTTGGTCATGTGACACTAAATGATGGAATGACATGTGTTTACTTCCATAAAAAAAATTTAATGGATCGTCTGGTTATGGATCATTTAAATAAGAATTGAATATTTTATGAACTAAATTGATAAAATTCATATATTAATGATGAAATTGACAAAAAAAAACCCGCATATTTTAGAGACTCAAAGTGTTATTAACTCTATATTTTATCTCTATTGACCTAAGAATATTGACAATTATTGTTATTTTATTCAAGTTGAAACCTAACCAAACAAATTTCAAATGAATTATTTTTATCTCTTTTCTTATAATTAGAACAACAAATTGTTGGGAATAGAAAATATTTTTTGAATTTTATAGTATAATACAAGCGATAAAAATATAATTTTTGATAAACTTGATATGATATTTAATGGAAGTACACATATACCTAATACTTTTTATTAATATTATGTATACGAAAATTATTCACGTGTATATATATATATATTAGTAGTAATTTGTATCTGAAAGCATTGTACAATTCAAAAAATCTAACATTGATTGAAGACACCAAAAAAATCAAGCACTGAACATAGACCTAAGTTTAAAGCTTAAAATGCATCTTTAACACCCACACTTTACATACATACTCAATAAAGTATTATCATTTTGAAGATTTTGGTGAAGATAAATTTCAACGAATAAATTAAAAAAAAACATAGCTTTAATAATCAAAAACCCATGAAGTTAAATTGAAAAACCATAAAATTCATATAATTTAAATTATATACCTAATTACCAAAAAGATTTAATCAAAAGTCAGTTTATAAGGTTCTACAAACCCACGTTATTAGAAGAAATGTCCGTGTCTGAAGGCAATATGTTATAATAAACAAACAATTTGCCAATTTTAATTAAAATAATTTTTTTTTGTTCTTTTAAAATATTTGAATAGAGTTTCCTAAAAACATGGCCCTAAGAAAATATCAACATGTACAAACAATTACTATATGT